GGAAAAGAAGTTATGCAAATTGAAAATGAAGTAAAACTGTAATATTTTACAGATGATACAATTGTGTACAAAGAAAATTTAAAATCATCTATAGATAAATGACTGAAACTTATATGTTTAGAAATATCACAAATATAAGGTTAATATATAAAAATTAATTTTATTTCTATATATCAATAATAAATAGTAACTAAAAAAGTTTAAGATAATATTGCTGATAGTATCCCAAAATATCAATACTCAAATGCCAAATAATAATTTACAAAGTATGTACAAGTCTTCTTATGGAGAAAACTATAAAATATCACTTAGAGAAATTTAAAAAATATCTAAATAAAGGAAAGCATACATCATTTTGTGAATTGAAAGGCTCAACAATATAAATATGTATGGTCTTCTCAAATTGATCAATGCAGTTCTAAATAGAATTCCAGCAGGATTCTTAGGTGGAACTTGACAAACCAAATTGAAAATATATATGAAAATACAAAAGACCAAAAATGGTCAAGAACTCTTGAAGAAGAATAAGAACAAGTGAGAAGATTCATTTTACCAGATAACAAACTTATAATAAATCTGTAATCACAGATTTGTAAAGACAGTATAGTACTGTGCAAATATAAACATATAGACTAATGGAGCAGAATAGAGAATCTCAAAATAGATCCATGCATATTTGAATCCTTGATTTATGATGAAGGTGACACTGTAGTGGGCAAGGAAAATCTTTTCTTTTTTTTTTAGGACTTAAAACAATGATTTATTATTTCTCATGATTCTGTGGGTTGGTTGAATTCTGCTGGTTTTTCCAGGACTTGCTTGTGCAGCTGCGTTCAGTATTTTGGAGGAATGGCTGAGGGCTGGTTTCAGCTGGGACAGTGGGGATGGCTAAGCCTCCCTTTCCGTATGTTCTTTCAAGGAATAGTCTTTTCAATAAATGAACCATAGGATATCCATGTAGAGAAAAATGAAATGACCTATCTCACACCATTCTCCAAAAGTCATTTTCAGGTACATAACAGACATAAATGAGAAAGATAAACCAAACATCTTTAAGGAGGTAACAAAATATCTTCATTATACTAATCTATTAAAAAAAAAAGGCTGAAACTCAAAAAGAGGGAGACAAGAGATTTATCAGTTTCTTTAAGAAAGAGGATATTTGTATGGTCAATAAACATATGGAAAATTGTTCAACTTCCTTAATAATTAGGGGAGTTCAAAATGAAACTATAAAAGCCACATTCAACAAAATGACTAAAATTTAAAAGACTAATAATTAACAGGTTTTGATTAGAATGTGTAGCTACTGAAACTCTTATATGTAGCTGGTAGAAAAGTAAATTGGTAAACATGCTTTGAAAAAACAGTTTGGCTTTATCTGGTCGATTTGAGGTCATGCATACTCTATGATTTGGCAAATCTACTTCTAGGTATATACCCAACAAAAATATGTGCATGTATCTATCAAGAGAAATACATATGAATGTTCATAGTGCAATTTTCATAATAGCCTCAAACTAGAAATAACCCAAATGTTCATCAATAGTCAACTGGATAAATAAACTCTAGCATATTTATACATTGACATTCTATAAGCAATGAAAATGAATGTATTATATCTAAGCTCAAAGACATGCATGCATCTCATAAAGATAATATTGAGCAACAGAAATCAGACACAAGAGGAAAAATACTCTAGAATTACATTTTCATAAATCAAGAAAAAAAGAGAGAGGAGCTTCTGGTCAAGATGGCAGAGTAGATAAAGGCTATGCTTGCCTCCTCTCACAACCACATCAAAATTACAACTGAATTACAGAACAGCCATAATGGGAGTCGCCTGAAGTCTAGTTGAACAGAAGTCCTCTACAACTGGGGGCACACAAAAGAGGCCATCTTGAGGTTGGTAGGAGGGCAGAGACACAGGATGGGGTGGTCCCACATCCACATGTAATGGTTGAGCATTGGGAGGGATATCTTGGCTGAGATTCCCTCAAAAGAGTGAAGGGTCCCATCACCACACTGGGGTCCCCAACCCAGGGTTCCAATGCTGAGAAGAGAGGTCCCTACAACTATTGGCTGTGAAAACCAGCAGAGATTGTGGCTGAGTGAGACGGAGGGCCACTGGAGTTGCATACATTCCTCTTAAGGGATCCGCACACAGACTTACTCATTGACAGACTCACTCATTCTGAGCTCCAGCACTAGGGCAGAAGATCAAAAGTTCCCAGGGACATAAAGGGAGAAACTGAGTTATCTGGCATCAGAGTGAGGGCTGGAGGGGCAGCTTTCTCCCAAACAGAAATACTGGCAGACACCATTGTTCCTTTGTTGAACCCTTCCCGACCTGGCATGCCAACACAGGCAGCTGCCATATCTGAGTCTCCATCAACCTGAATAACACTGGTTGCCCCATTCTGTGATCCTCTGAGACCCTCTCCCACCCAACTTTCAGGACAAACCAAGCCACTTCTAGTGAGTTTTCCATACAAATGATCTGCCTTGGCTCATGCTGTAGACTTTTCTAAAATCTCTCAAAGTTTCACAAAACTCAAACAAGCAGCATCTGGCCTTGTAGTGCCCTGTACCTCTTGCTGAACAGCCTCAAGTCCAGCTTTAGTGGCAGCCAGCCTCAGTTTGTGGCTTGGCTTCTCGAGGCACATCTATGCCAGTGTGGGTGGTGGCCATCTGCCAAGTGGCCCCAGGCAGTGCACAGGCTGTAGTTGAACTTGGCCTGAAGCAGGACCCCTCCCAGGAGGCCCCAGCTTGCACACCTGATAGCTAGCTTTGGTTTGAACTGGAGCACCACCCAGGGCCATATCCAAGGACAGCATACACAAAAGGCAGACTGGGCAGGCACCAGAGCCTGCCAGAGCCTAAAATGAATCTTGCTTCATAGGGTCAACCTCTGCATAATAGCTCCTCTACTGTAGTCACTAGCCAGTGCTCACAACCAATCAGCCTGAGGGTCAATCTCTCCCATTTTTGTGCAAAAAGCAACCAAGTCTCAGCTACAATAAAAGGGCACACACAGCCAGTACAAGGGACCCACCATGAGCACCTGACTCAGGTAACCAGGGAAGACTGAGCCACTGGGCCCCACAGGACACCTACATAAAACCACTTTACTAAAACTGGGAGACATAGCAGGCCTACCTAATACATAGAAATAAACACAAAGATGCAACCCAAATGAGGAGATAAAGAAATATGTCCCACATGAAAGAACAGAACAAAGCTCCAGAAAAAGAACTAAACAAAATGGAGACAAGCAATCTACCAGATGCAGAGTTCAAAACACTGGTTAGAAGAATGCTCAAGGAACTTAGAGGAAGAGTAGATGAACTCAGTGAGAACTTTAACAAAGAAACAGAAAATATAAAAATTGGGCTAGAAAACATAAAAAAAGGAACCATTCAGAAATGAAGAATACAATAATTGAAATGAAGAATACATTAGAGGGAATCAACAGATAAGATGAAATAGAGGATCAAATCAGTGATTTAGAAGATAAGGTAGCAGAAAACATCCAATTAGAACAAGAAGAAAAAAGAATCCAAAAAAATGAGGATAGTTTAAGGGGCTCCTGGGACAATATCAAGCATAACAACATTTGCATCATAGGGGTACCAGAAGAAGAAGAGGCGAGAGCAAGAAATTGAAAACCTACTTGAAGAAATAATGACGGAAAGCTTCCCTAACCTGGAGAAGGAAAGACATACAAGCCCTGGAAGTGCTGAGTTCCAAACAAGATGAATCTAAAGAGGCTCACACTAAGACACATCATAATTAAAATGCCAAAGGTTAAAGGCAAAGAGAGAATATTGTAAGCAACAAAAGAAAAGCAGTTAGTTACCTAAAAGGGAGCTCCCATAAAAAGTTTCTCGAAAACTTTACAGGCCAGCAGGGATTGACAGGAAATATTCAAAGTGATGAAAAGAAAGGACCTACGACCAAGATTATTCTACCCAGTAAAGCTATCATTTAGAATCGAAGGACAGATAAAATGTTTCTTGGACAAGAAAAAGCTAAAGGAGTTTATCAACATTAAGCAAGCATTACAGGAGATGTTGGAGGAACTTCTTTAAGAAGAAGAAAAAAAAGATGAAAATACAAATGATAAATATATATCTATCAACAATTACTTAAAATTTAAATGGATTAAATTCTCCAATCAAAAGATAGGGTGGTTGGTGGCTCCATAGTGTGTAGTGGTTAGCATGTCTGCTTTACACTCAGAAGGTCCTGGGTTCGCGCCCCAGGTGGAGCCACGGACCATATCTTGGGTGTGCCAGGCCCCAGGTGCGCAGAGCCACCTCAGTGCGCCGGGCCCGGGTGCGCACCGCGGGTGCATGGGAGGAAATGCCTCGCTTCCAGAGATCCAGTTCTTAAAGGGAGATGGCAACGTTTGTAGGTCAGGGGTGAAAGTGGGAGGAGGGGACTGAAGAGGGGGAAAAAAGATAGGGTGGCTGAATGGATAAGAAAGCAAGACCCTTACATATGCTGCCTATAAAGAGACTCACCTCAGATTGAAAGACACGCACAGACTGAAAGTAAAGGAATGGAAAAAGATGTTTCATGAAAATGGAAACAAACGAATAAAGCTAGGGCAGCAATACTTAATACCAGGCAAAATAGACTTTAAAATTAAGCTATAACAAGAGACAAGAAAGGACCCTGTTATCCTACTTCTGAGAATTTATCTGAAGAAACTGAAAACATTACTTTGAAGGGACATGAGAATCAATATGTTTATCTCAGAATTAGTTACAATAGTCAAGATATGGAGGCTACCTGGGTGTCCATCAATGGATGAATGAATAAAGAACAGGTGGTACAATATACAATGGATATTATTCAGCTATAAAAAAATAAAATCTTGCCATCTGCAACAACATGGATGAACCTATGGAGTAGCTCGGACAGAGGAAGACAAATGCCATATAATTTCACTTGCATGTGGAATCTAAAGAACAAAATAAACAAACAAAACAGAAACAAACTCATAAATACAGACAACATTTTGATGGTTGCCAGATGAGAGTGGGGTCAGGAGGGTGGGTGAAAAAGGGGAAAGGATAAAGAAGTACAAATTAGTAGTTACAAAATAGTCATGGGGATGTAAAGTAGCATAAGGAATGTAGTTGAATATTGTAATAACTATGTATGGTGTCAAATGTGTACTAGATTTATCAGGGTGATCACTTTGTTAGTTATATAAATGTCTAATCACTATATTGTACACCTGAAAATAATATAATATTGTATGCCAACTATAATCTTTTTAAAAATTATTTTTTAAAAAAGCCTCAGCCCAGAGTATCTGGTTACAGAGTTTCAAAGACCTTCAAAGGCCTTGAATGCCAGGTTAAACAGAATATGTCCCCATCACCTATAGAGGGTGCCAAATGCTCACCCTTTCTTTCTTCTTTCATTAAATCCATATTGAGTGATTTTTAAAAAGAGAGAGAGGAAACTAAAAAATATTTTTAGAGTCAGGATAAGGGTATCTTAGGGGAGGAGAGAGAGGGTAGTGATTGGGAGGGTACGAGAAGGTCTTCTGGGGGTTGCCGGTAATGTTCTGTTCCTTGACCTGAGTGGTAGTTTTATGGTATTAGGAGACTCAATACAGCAAGATGTAATTTCTCCTCAAATACATCTATAGATTCAATGCAACCCTAATAGGATTTTTTTCCTTTTTGTGATACTTGAGAAGCTGATTCTTAAATACATATGAAAGTACAAAGGGACAAAAATAGTCAAAAACTCTTGAAGAAAGCAAGACTTGCTTTACTAGATATCAAGATGGGGTAATTCACTGAGCCGATACTTATACATTGTGCACTTTTGGTATATATGTTATACTTTACAGTAAAAAGAGGGATGCTTGCAGCATGGTATAGAATAGATAGAGAAGGAACCATGGTAAATGCAAGGGTGGAGGTTGCTCTTGGGGACTCTATATTTAAATGGAGCTTGGGTCTCAGTGGTGGTCATGGCCTGTGTAATAAACCCTCCAGGCCACTAGAAGACAGTAGAAATAAGAGCTTTGTCCAAAACTTCATTTCTGGTTATCAGAAATGCATTTATTGTCATCTGATGCAATATTCCAAGGTGATAATCAAAGCTGTCTTTACCTTCACATCCTTTACTCCAGAATTTGCCTTCTCTATACTTTAAATGGACAGATTCTGGCCTATTTATCACCTAGAATTGTCTTCGAGTCTGAAAAACTATATCTTCATAGCTAACCATAATCCCTTTAGCTTCCTTCTTTCTTCCCTACTCCTCAAGATCCTCTTTCCTTGTCTCTTTGGCACTTTGTAAACTCCTAGACTTGGATCGGACCAACACATTACACAATAGCCTTTTCAAACCTTTCTCTCTCTCCTCAAGCCCTTTCCCTAGAGGAGAGACTTTGATAACTTGGAACTGGAGAGTCCTAGAATGGCAGACCCAGAGGAGTCACATGTCATGCCTCTCTAGCTTCCTATGAAGAAATAATCAGATTACCCAGTGTTTTTCATTATTTCATTAACAAAGAGTCCCATCTGACACTGAAGTTTAATGCCTATTTTAGTGAGCTCTTGTTCTCAACTTCTGCTTGCCTGATCTTCCCTGCTCCAGAACCCATGTAGAACTGTGAATGTCAGACGTGCAAGGTGGACTGGCCAGGAATCCAAGGGAAATGTGACAGGTCCACCCCAGACAAAGTATAAAACTTACACCTGATTTCTGGACTTGGGCATAGATAGTAAGGCTTTTCGCTTCCACTGTTGGCTGGTAATGGTCTGCTTTACCTGGGGAAAAGAAACCATAGAGGTTATCTCCCTCTGATCCCCAGCATGAACTCTCTGCTCAGATCTGATTTTACCCCAGTTGCATACCAACCTTCCCGAAGAGTACTATAGAAACAAAAACACTGAGTTCCAAACCCCTCTGCACATTTGTCATATAATGTTAGGTTAGCCACTTGATCTCTCTGGGTTCATTTTCCTACTTGTGAAATGAGGTTGAAATACCTGCCTCACTGGGCTATTGCAAGGATTGCATGAGACATTTCTTGTGAAGTATTTAGAATAGTGTCTGGCATATGGTAAATTCTCACTACATGTTAGATGTAATTGGCATGCCATTCGATTATTTTATTCTCTATTTTTTGATGTATGTATCTGATCTTTCAATAGGATTCTAAGTTCTTTAAGGGAAAGGTAAGTTATTTATACCTCTTTTGTACTCTCCAGCTCATAACATTTTTTTTTTCATTCAGAGCTTTCTCATCTCCTAGTTTCAGTGGGACTTGGTGTATGTGAAGCAGGGAGAAGGTGTAAGAACGGTGACTCACTTAAGACTATTTGGAATATCAAGCTATAATATCATTCTCGTGCCTATCATTTGGAAATTATGCTCAGAGCCTAAGGTCTCTGGAAAGTAATAAGTTGCAGAACATTTTATTTTTACCCAATTTTATAATTTTCCTTTTTAAATTATAAAAATAATGCATTCTTGTAACAAAAATTAAGAGTAAAAAATATAGAGTAAAAAAATATGTCCTCTCCCCCATTAACCAATGCAATTTCATTCTCAGAAGTAATCACTTGTGACAGTTTGACATATATTCTTCCAGACCAGCTCTATGCAATAGAACTTTCTGTGATAATGGAAATGTTCCATGTCTGTAGTCTCATATGATAGCCACAGGCCACAGATGGCTATTGAGCACTTGAACTGTGGGTAATGCAACTGAGAAACTAAATTTTAAATTTGGCTTCATTCTAATTAATTTAAAATTTAAAAGCTACAGGTGGCTAGTGACGACCATATGCGACAGTGTTTCCTAGACATTTGTTGTACTTATACAGATTTATTTAATGTAAATAAGGTCATTCTATACACACTTCTTTGTAATTTGACCTTTTCACTTAAAATGTGTTGAAGAGGTTTTCTACATATCTCATTCTTTCTAATATTTCATAGTATTCTTTGTGTGCATCATGTAGCAGTAAGAAGGATAGAGGGAAAGTAACAAACTAAAACATGGAGGCCTATTTTGGGACAATTACAAAGTCCAGGCAGAAGCAATGGTGATCCATCCCAGAGGGAATCACATTAAGTCTTTAGGGTACACTTATTTTAACACTAATGAATGTATCCTCTTAAAAAACTAGAAGCATGTCTCTGAGGGAATAGCACTTAGGGGAGGTATAGTTTTCTTTAAAAGTATGTATGTTTGTATGTGGTGAGGGTGGTGAACCATGTAGCATGAGGGTATGATCCTAAGGATGGAAATGATGGGCAGCCACTAGGGAAACTCTAAGAATTCAAAAAATGTCAAGGTAGGATTTTCTTATGTGGGTCTGGGCATAGAGTACTTGGTGGTTCCAACTTCACTTTTTTGGTCAAGGGTGATGCTGGTTAAGGAGTGTGTGTGTGTGTGTGTGTGTGTGTGTGTGTGTGTGTGTGTAGAGTGGAGGTTAAGGGTTGGGGTGATCAGAAGAGGTAACAGAGGAGGTGCAAGTTAGTTCTGTGAAATACATCCTTTGAGTTCAAATCCACAAGTGTTTGCAAAGTTAGAGGCACCCGCCCAGCACTGGAGGGGAACAAATAGAGAAGAGACCCCAGTCTTTAAGGACAACCAGTCTTACAGGCCAGCTCGAGGCTGAAATTTAGAATTAGGACAGTCCTAAATGGTCAGACAAATGGAAAAAGTAAGTCTGAACGTTGTTTCTCAAAAAGGCCACTGGATGACGATCATTTAGTATCTTATTTTGTTCCCAGTGCAAGGTTTTCAGGAGCCAGCTCAATGTAACTGAAAGTCAGTGATGCTTTCCTGTCTAATGAAAATGGTCTTAGAATTAGGGCATCTACATTCTAGCCCTTATTAACTGTGTGACATTAGACAAACATGGCATCTACATGGGTCTCTTCTATTATAACTGTAAAATGAATATGCAGACTATCTAATGTCCTTTTCAACTCTCACCTAAAGCATAAAATTGTTATGTTACCATGACTTTAAGTATTTTAAATCTTTAAAACTTTAAAATTGGTATCGTTCCTAGATGTTTCTCGTGCTGCCCTCTACTGGCCATTGGACTTAAACACCTACATTAAGAGATTTGTCTATATATGTGTGTACGTATGTTTGTATGTATGTGTGTGTGTATGTATGTATGTATATATGTATGTACATATGTATGTATGTACCTACCTACCATCTAGCCACAAAAGCCACTGTGTTCTGTGATTTCTGTGTGTGGACTCATGGATCCGCCCACAACAATACCACAAAGTACATATTATCTTCATTTTGCAGAGGAGAGGTTGAGTCATTTATTTGGTCAGCTTGTCACTGGCAAAGCTTGTCAGTGGCAAAGTCTGCATTTAAAGTATGTTTGTCTAATCCCAAAGCCCATGCTCTTAAACAATGTATTCTAGATGTGAAATTGCCAGAGTCCGTTTGAAAGTCTTCAGAGTATGGCTGCATTCTGGAGATGACACCATTAGAAACTGCCAACAAAATCTTTTGAGCAGAGTCCTTGGAGGGTACAGAAACTGAGGGTAGTTTTTTTTCCAGAGGTTTGAGGAAAGGTTTTTGTGTTCCTGACTTTCAAGGAATATATAGTGACTAGAGACCAGGATGAGTATGTGTGTTGGGGAAGGTGGTAGGGAAGTGTAGTGGGATGAGGAGTACTAGTCCCTTCAGAGCACAACTACATGATGAGCAGAATGTAGCTGAGGAAAGAATGTGGGTCAGGGTCTCAGCACATTCCACTAACTAGGTTAACGTAGGCACATTAATCTCTGTTTTCTTAACTCTGGTGTTTCACTGTTTCCTTATTATCTAAGCCAAATGTGGCTGTCCTGCCCCATCCTCTTAGACTGTCCTCATGATTTCTATCTGAATCACCCAGCCCTCTATCTCCTCCCCAGCCACCTCTTAGATGGAGGAAATGAGACAAAAATAGGCAGCTGTGCTATGATCTAGATTTTCTTATATAAGCAAAACCAACATCTGAGTGCTGAGGTAAGGGCTTTTCTGAGAAGGTCTCATGTGTAGAGAATGAGATTGGCCATCAGCTTGGTGGCATGAGGATCCAGTTCTCTCCTCACCATAGGCAGGCCAGCCCAGGATCTGTCCTGGTCTTGGAGCAGGACTTTCTGACTCTAGTGTGGGCAGATGAGTAAAGTGTACTGAGGGGAGCACGCTGCCCTGAGATATTGAATCACAGGACAATTGGAGGAGAGGCCAGGAGAAACTACTTCTAGGCACTGAAACCTCAAGGGAATAATTGCAGTTTAATTGTTTAAGTCTACTGTGGGTGACTTCCTATACTATTTGGTTGAGCTTTAAGCAACTTTATGAGTTGCACACTTCTCCAAGACGAGTCAGAATTTGTGCTAACATCTTAGTAAAGAGTGTTTCCTCTGCTGTCTTCTGATGACTTGTCAGCTTTCCTAGTGGAACACACCCTGGTAGTCTGGAGACATAGTTACAATTCTGATTCCCTCGCCAACCAGCTGGGCGACTTCACACAATTCACTTAGCTTCTCTTTGCCTCTATTAGGCCATTGCTAAGTCACATAGAAACAACTATTCTGCTTCTCTCAGAGGGATATCATAAGGATAAAGATAAATTATAGAAAGGTTTCAACCCTTAAGTGAAAACATCTTATTATAATGTCCTTTTATTAGTCAGTAATTATAACATTTCTAGGATGAGATCAGAGTCTTCTGAATTCTGCTTTTGCTGGATGTTGTCAAGCCTCTTGTCTGGACCTCTTCAACATCCTGTACATACTTCTACTGTGTTGCTTGTCATATTGAATTTAAATTATCTTTGCACTGTCTCTCATATTAGATACCTATGGCTCATCTCTCCTTTTTATCCCCATAGCCCAATATAGAGGATCAAGACATTTTGAATTAGGCTCAATTGAACAAGTTTCCAGGATATGTTTATATACTGTTTTTGCAAAGGTGCTCCCTGCAGAAAGCTGAAGTGGAGATAGCAAGTTGGTGCTTGTGGTGAGAGGTCCCCTGCTTACCACAGAGAGTCTGATAAGCATCTCTTTACTGTCAGACACCTACCTCTTCTTCTCAACAGTAGTATTACCACTTGGAGAATCATGATGACACCAATGATGCCCCCTAAGAACAGCCCAGCATACAGTCCCCAAAGTCTTGATACTGAAAAAAAAGTCAAAGGGCAATCTCAAATGTACTGTGAGTGTAAAAACATCCTACTCAGAAATGGGGAAAATAAACTTAAGCCTTGTGTTCTCTTTCTGCATTCTCTTTCAAGGGAGACGTTCATTTTCTGGGGTTTAGAGATCAGCTTTAGACAACTGAAGATTTCCATACCTGTTTTCTTTTCATCATTTCTCTTATTATATTTGACTTTCATATTCTCAATTTCTGTAAAGGCTTTTCTGTTCAAATGTTTCATTTTTATTTCAACTACCACAACACATGTCTAAAATCAAACTTATCTTTATCTCTCCTAAGTTAACCTCTCTGTCCAGTTTCCTATTTTTAAATCTCTAGTGTGTTCTGTATCCACTTTGGTAAAGAGAACATGATGGCTCCATGTGCTGTCCCCCATACTCCTACACTATTCTCATGGGACACTGGAAGGAAGAAAAAAATCTACTTTTGTTTTTTTAAAAATAAACGTAATAGTGCTATTATTGTCTGTCCATGCAAATAGATCTATTGAACCCATTAGACCTGAACTGAAAGAAAAGCATGTAGTTTTTCTCTCATTCTCATGTTAATATTTGCTCTAGAACAGGAGTTCCCAAGCCCTGGGATGTAGAATGGTATGGGTCTGTGGCCTGTTAGGAGCTGGGCCACACAGCAGGAGATAAACGGCAGGCAAGCAAGCGAAGCTTCATGTATATTTGCAGCGGCTCCCCAGCGCTAGCATCACTGCCTCAACTCCACCTAGGATCATCAGGCATTAGGTTCTCATAGTAGAACCAGTCCCTGGTGCCAAAAATGTTGGGGACTGCTGCTCTAGAGCACCAATCACCCAGGCTCAAAAATCAGAGAGCCAATTTTTATTGCTTTCTCTTCTTTAACTGCTTTACCAAATCCTTCTGAACCAGAAGCAACACTTTGGAAAAACAATGATTGGGACCTATTGCCCCAGTAGATAAGACATTTAGCTTAATAAGATAATAACTGATGATTCTGAGCATTTACAATGGGCCAGGCATTTTTTTAGTGCATCACGTGTATTAATGTATTTAATTCTCACAACAAGGTAGGTACTCTCATTACTCTAATTTTGTGAATAAGAAAGCAGGTGTGGAGATCCTCAGGAACTGGAGTTTGGTCCAGGAGTAGAAACATGGCTGAATACTGAAGACAGATTTTTGGAACATCAAAGAGAGTTATAGGCTTGGGGTAAGTTACAACAGGGTAATGAACAGTAGAGGCCAACCTGAAGCACTGGGGTTCTATGTGAAGTAATAGCATTAAGGTTCTAAATAGTACACTACCAGGTGTTGACATTAATGTGTAAGTGTAACTTGTCAGGATGATTGTGGGATAAGCCTACGTTGAAGCTGCGGTGAATTTATTTGAAAGAAGTTGAGAGGAAGGAGTAAATAGGTTACAAAGGAGTACAGTGCTTCCAGGCACAATTCGGATATCTACAGAGTCTGGCCAAAGATACAGACTGCAGTCTCAATGAATTGAATTGATAAAAGGCATTCCACTGAGATCCAGTGGGCCTTCAGCTAACCTGATAGCTAACCAGAAATCATCTCCCGATTTTAAAAAGATTCTTGTTTTATTAGGACTTTCAGACATAGAGTCATACCAAGGAATCTTATTAATCTGGCTTTGCGAACATCTTGATTATAGAGTCTCTTTCCCCAATTAAACGTGTTTTGACCCTTCCAGATACCAACTTCAGCAGACAGTCACATGACCTGATGAAAAAGCTAGGGGACAAACAGATAGTTGCAATAAGACTCCTGAATTTAAATAAAATATGAAATTTGAGCATGAAATCACTGCCAAGTCTCAGAGCAACTCCACTCTGAAAGACTTTTCTGAATGGCTTATGGTTGCTGAGAACCTTCTGTGCAGGTGTGTGCATTTGTGCATGCATGTGTCTGAGAGAGAGTGAGTGAAAGATTATTAGGGCTTACGTTTGCAACACTAGGGACCTGTGGTGAAACCTTCCAAATCTAAAGATAAGAAGCGGCAGCAGCAGCCTAAGCACGACCACGTCTTCTCAGCCTACGGAAGTGACCAGCAATTGTTATAGTAGCCCCTCCTCTTTTGAGGCTATTTCCTCTTTCTTTTTCCCTAATATATTTAGGGGACTTCCTAAAACAACAGTTACTTTAAGAACAAACTCTCCAAACATTCAAATCATTTTAAAAGGTAGTATTTCTCTCAAATTTCATTTAAGTTAAAAAATTTTTAAAAAACCAACAACCAAGGTGGTGCCTCTAAAACCGGAAAATAGCAGAAGACAAAACCGCATCAGTAATGCCTGCCAAGTGAACCTTTCTCCTGCCCCTGGGTCCTGATGCTGACAGCTCTGCCACCCACCTCCTCTCATAAACTAACAATGACTGGGCATATTACTGAGGCCCAGAAGACATAAAATAACTCCAGCCCTCTCTTTTCTAGGGTCTCAGAAAGATGTAAGCCATCTGCTACTTTTGTCCTATGATATAAATGACCAGCTTCTGCCAGTCCAACCAGATCTGAGAAGCAACCTGGACACAGTTCTGAAAGAGATTTCATAAAGTTTCATTGTCCTCCTAGTTCTCAGATATAAAGCAATATGAATCCACTGGAAGATTTAAATTACAGGACAATAGACTTTGTTAACCATAAAGGAACTCTAGCACTTATCTCATCCAACCCACTAACTTTGTGTTACGGAAACTGAGACTCAGAGAAGTGTCCCAGAAGAAAAGATGATGGCAGAGGTGGGTGAAGTGAGAACTGCAGACTTTGCAGTTTGTGATTTAGCCTGAGGAAGAGAGGGCCCCCACAAAGAAAGCAGTGGCAGGCTGGGATGCCTGGGAGGCCTGGAGAGTCAGAAGCTCTCTCGGTGCCGACTCATCCTTTTACCAACCTCCATCCAACACCTGCTGATTCCTGCTCCTGTGCTCTATCCCTTGGTCTTCCCCTGCTGCACCTTTAGCTGCCTACCAGGTCTGCCCAGCCTTGACCTTCAAGCCTGTCTTCCTTTCTGATACTTTTTCTCACCATTCTAGTTCTCTTTTTTCCCTCTCCCTTGGACTCTGCATCTTAGAACTTGAGTTGTGACATTATGTTTGCTGTGGAGACCATTCTCAGTGAAGGCATTTGCAGCCAGACAGATGGATTCAAATTATGGGTCTACCATTTGATAGCTCTCTGACCTCAGATAGGCTGCTCATACCCTCCAGGTCCAGATTCCTCATTTGCAAAATGAACATAACAATATTCAGTTCACAGAGTTGTTCTGATAAACCAATGAAAGAATGTATGGAAAGTGCCTGGATTCAGTATGTAGTGAATAAATGTTAAATCCTTCTGATGGCCACAATTTCTCAACTAGCTGCTAGGTTCTTGGAAGCCAGATACCATCTCTTTACATCTTTTGCAGCTCTCTTAGTATTTGGCATATATAGGTCCTTGGTAAATTTTTGTTGGTTGATTGAAAGGACAAGGAGATAGGTTTGATGTCAAGTCCAGAGGAGTTCCTTCACTGATGTCCAGAGATACTTCAGTCCCACCCTGTTATTTGCTTATGACTTATTTTCTCCATCTGGTTAGCAGGCCCAACTTTATATGCACTTGGTACTCACTTATTTGGTATTACTTTCTAATTATGATATATATATGGAAACTAAATGTCAGGGACTCTATGCCCTCAGGAATTTGAGTAAATATAGGGGGAAAAAAAGCTATTTTATGGCTTGTTGAGATCACGCTGCCCGGGATTTCTGTAATTTCTGGCAGTAACTTCCTTGTGATCCTCTGAGTCTTTGCTTCTGCTCTAGTCTGGGCTGTCCTGGGTACAAGGTTCAGTGCCCTCATCACTTTTCACACACACATGCACACCCCAAAACCCAAAACCTACACTAAGAATTTCATGGGTTTGAATCCTCTACTGTAGATATGAAGGGTCACAGGGAGCAGACTCCATCATAAACAGGCAGCTTTCCACCCACCATTGGACAGGCTCAGAGCTTGTCTTTCTCTTCCTTTATCTACATTAGCAATGTGTTCCTCCTTCCTCATACAGAACCATCTAGCCCACTGCCAGGTTCTTTGTGTGTGTGTGGTGGTGGGGGGCGGGGGGGAAGGACGTCTCATTTTCTGCCCTCTAACATTTATTAAGGTATTATCCTAAACAAACACTGTTTTCTACCAAAGAGGAATTCTAATAGCAGTTTTAATATGATAATATTTTTCTACCTAGGAAAGTATAGAAGTCCCACCTAGATTGTAAATTCCTGGAAATCAGACCTTATGCTTTATTGGCATCTCCCATTCCATCCAATACAATGTAGGGCAGGGGGGCACTCAATATACACATGAAGAACTAAGTTAGAGGCCATAGAATAAAGCTGGGAGAAGACTGTCATGTACCTTTTTCTTAAGAGTTATCAGAGTGCTAAATATGAGAAGGTCTCAGAAGGAATGCAGCATCACCTTCTGAATGGCCCAGGGCAGCAGTAGAAGGAAATGAGCAGTGACCTACTTGAGATCTGCTTTATAATAACAACATGGAACCAGGAGGAAAGCATGTGTCTTGCTGTCAGCACCACCTGTGTTCTCATTTTCAAACCACTATTTCCTGTGGCAGAAACTCCAGCTCTCCCTCTTTTTGCTCAGAAATGGCGTAAGGCCTCTCGGGATATCTACGCTCAGAAGTCAGACAGAGGCTGTTCTGCTGTTCTAGGGTCCGCAGGCCTCATTCTTCACTCACAAAGAAAGCCTATTTGAACCATCTTAAACAGCAAGTTTGGTAACTCTCGCCCCTACCACCACGTGCACCCCCAGCTTCTTAGAGATTGCTGAACAGTCTGATTGAGAACTCCTGTGCCCTGATGTACTTATAAAGAGTACTATGCACAAGTCTCCACCATTTGGTCCTCTACTTCAGGGGTCCCCAACCCCTGGGCCACAGGCTGGTACCAGTTTGTGGTCTGTTAGGAACTGGGCCG